GATGCGGTGAAAGTTAAAAAATATTAGCATCATATTCAGAGTAGAGGTTATATCTTCGAATACACGTAGGGTGCAAACTATCTGACCTAAGAAATTAGGTGAATTTTCGGATCAATTGCAGCATCTTCGCAGAAAAAGCGTTTTCTGTATTTTCGTTTGTGAGCAGGTATTTCGCGTTACAAACCTTTGATTGTCAGTCACTAAAAATTTTTATCACTCCATTAATCCTCTGAACAGTGATTGACAATTCACAAAAAAGGAGATTCTGGATGAAACATATTGGAAATTGCTAAGTAAAACATCCTTTTTTGCCGCTTTACCACATCTGTAGAATTCTGTCTGCGTAATGGCCTGTCTTAAGGGCTTACGGTAGAATGGTCACTGAACAGATAATGAAACTTAACATGTTTTCTATGCTGAAACATATTCTCGAGGCTTCAGCAACGGATTCCACCCACAAAGTTGGCGAGATCTCTAAGTTTTCTAACGTTGGTTGCTTAATGACGTGGCACTGCAAATATGCACACTGATGTACATATTACCATTTCGATTGGTTACAGTACGTTGCATTTTAGAACCTGCAATGCATCGATGTATTTCACATAAGCTTTATCGATTAAAATAATACCTTATTCCGCGGCAGTAATGTTTCAAGAGCCGATACCCGTGGCAGAGTTTAGGGCAACGAGGATAAATTCTGAATTTTGGCCAATGAAATCAAAGGTATAACCAAATCAGCAGTTCATTCTGCTTTGTCGTCTAATCCTGGGTCTACGGAGAGTTGTCTTCCATGCGATCGCTCAAAGATCCCGTTTCGTAAGTTTTTTTTCTAATATCTGGACCATTTGCAGATTACATATTTCACTCCATTTTGAAAATATGCGTCCGCAAGCAAGAGTTTGCTTTGTCAAAAATTTGTCAGTCTTCGGCACATTGATAGCCGACCATAGAAAACTTAACTCAATCGATTGCACTCATCCTCACATTTATAGTTGTTCAGAATTATCTAGAATTCATGAATATAAGTAAGAAATGATGTCCGTCGATTAGAGAACGAATTATCTAACATTATCAGAGTTAAAACCTTTCTTCATTCCCTCATACAGGATGAACTCCCTTAATCTATTTCTTTATCTGCTGTTACGCTATACCCATAACCTTTCCTGAATGTCATTTCACAATGCACTAGCTTTACCGTTGGCATCGATGAGACTTCATACATATAAGCTATACACAAGATGAACTCGATTCGGTTAAACTAGATAAACTTAGTCGCAGCGACCTCAATTCCTGCCTTATTACATGCAACTCTGAAATTGTTTAGTAGGGTGATGGGAGTGAGATTTTCAGAAAACCAGCATGGGCAGATGTTCATCCTAAAGCAGTGGAGTAATCAAAATTCTACAATTCTCGAACTCTCTAAACCTTATTAATGCAATTCATAACTTCAACCAATCAAAGGGAGATATGAATACACATTCTTGTCGCTGTACCGATGGAAAAACTGCAACGTATTTCCGTCTGGGTCAAACAGTAATCTGACTGATGAAAATCCCAAGTAATATGTAGCCATTCGCGAGATATTTTCCTCTAATTATCGTAGAATTCATCTGTGGAACT